ATCAGACCGGGGTTTCAATTCTATGTTACAAACAGATAGTATGACCTTTTGTCAAGTTAATTATCTTTTTCGAGCCTCAGTTTCTTCATTAGTAAGAAAGAGAATAATGTCCATCTTGAGGATTCTGATGAGGATGAAATTTGATAGCAGGTGTGAAGCACTTACTGTAGAATCTGGTGCAAAATGGATGCTTCCTCAGTAGTAGCTATCATTTCTGTAAGCTCATTGCATTTGATAAGAGGGTGCTAATGCGAGCTACTAACAAAGACTAGCAGAAAAGCTTCTTTTGCCACAGCTCCCCACCATCAGGACCCATACCAGCACGGGATATTTTTTTCCCTTCGTAAACTCCATTGCACTATAGAAACCTGCTTGCCGCTTGCCTTCATCCAGCATTAGGTGCTCCTAGGTCATCTTAGGAAGCAGGATTGCCATTCTGAGCGTTTTCAACAAGGCTAGTGTTTCTTTATTTACTGCCTTTGCTAAATTGCCAGATGTTGCATCTAGGAAAGCCTCCAGTGTTGTAAAGGAAGGACGTCTGAATAAGAAACACAGGGAGGTTGTCAGAACACATTGTCTTATGTGCTCATAAATAGTTCAAAAAAAAAAAAATAGGTTGAACAAACACTCAGCCTCTTTGTGATAGGTAACAGATTGATAATATAGACAATCTGATTATATTAACATTTTAAATGAATTGGGTATATCTTGTCTCTTTAAATAGACTGGAAATGCCTTAGAAGTAGGGACCAAATCCTTTGCTTTGATTTTCCACAGTAAAAAACAGTCTTGCACATTTTTAGTATTTAAAGGAAAACTAAATATAAAATACTTCTCAGTCTTTCACTTACACAATCCTATAGAGATTGGGAACTAGAGAGATATATTTCTCTCCATAGAATTTATAAGGGACTTTCAAAGAGCTCTTTTCTGCTACTTGAGAAAATAGAGACAATGTCATGGATGTAAATAATATAAAAATGTGATTATTTTATTTTACTTCCTCACACAGTTTATTTTTTGGCTGGTAAATCACCTTGACAAAGTAAGATATGATTCACCAACATCAATGGCTTCCCTTGCTGAGATTTTATTCTCTTTTAGATGAGCAAGTCAAAGAACAAATTCTAGGCACCAAGTATGTGATAATAACATACAATAAGCTTTTTCAAGATCTTTCATGTGATCTCATTTGAATCCCAGGACTCATTTGATATAAATATTGTTATTGTCCCAGTTTTACAGATGAGAAAATTTAAGTTTGTAAAAGTTAAATAACACATCTAAATTCAAGCTAGTAATCGAAGGAATCAAAGAATTGAATATAGCTCTAATTGATTTAAAAATCTGTGCTCTTTTCTGTACACTAGAGTTGGATTGAATTGTTCTGACTTGCTGACACACCTTAGAAACCTCTTTTTACTATGTACTATGAAATTAATTTATTGACTTGCTATTTTCATTCCTTAACAGCAAGGTGCAGAATGTATTATTGTCTCACTCTTGTCTAAGAATTCTCCATGGATGGAAAGTCTAATAAGCCAGCAGGGACCTTGTTAGCAGTCACAGATGCCAAAATGGCTCAAAGTTCTTTGTGAAGGACAGTGACAGTTGCCCAAATTACTCTGTATGCCTTCAAATTTCTGTGCTACATTCCTATGGGTAATTAATAAACACA